GGGCAAGTAGTGCACAATGCTGGCAAGGCTGCATTACTTCTCCATCCCCACACTAGAATTGGTGGGCCTTAAGCTTCTGCAGTTCTTGTACTGCACCCACAATGACGTTTTTATCGTTGTCATGTTATGGCACAGAAGGAGGCCATTTGGCCTATCATGTCTGTACTGGCTCTTCAAATTAACATCATGATTTAGTGCCATTCTTCTATATTTTCCTATACCCTTGTTCGTGTTTCTATTTAAATAATCATCTAACGCCCGTTTGTCTGCCTCTGTTAAACCTGTCCCCTGCCACTCCAAGGCCTGTCATTGCAGATCATTAGTGTGATAGTTTGTTTTCCTCTTGCATCACATTTTGCTTCTTTTGCTAATCACTTTAAATCTGTTCTGCCTTCTGCTTGATCCTTAAGTGGGAACAGTTTCTCCCTACTGACTTTATTCAGGCCCCTCATGATTTTGGAACCTTTCACCAGTTCTCGCCTCTGGAACCATTTTTCTTGAATTTCTTCTGCACTGACTCCAACACATTCATGTTCTTCCTGTAGGACGATGCCCAGAACTGTACACAGTACTCCAGCTAAATCAAACAAGCTTATGAAACAAGTTAAGCATCACCTCCTTGCTTGTACTCAATGTCCCTATACACCCAGGTTCAGTTCTGCAACCCCTTTTGAAATTGTACCCTGTATTTTATATTGTCTATGTTCTACCTGTGAAAATGTAACACTTTGGACTTCTCCGCATTAAACTTCATCTGTTACCTATCTGCCCATCATCTGTCCTTTTTGAGGTTCTTACTGCTACCCTCATTGTTTACAATGCTTCTAAGTTTTGTATCTTGAAATCTTTGAAATTGTCCCCCGTACACCAGTACCTAGGTCAATAGCTTATCAGGAATAGTAAGGTTCTGAAAACCAAACCCTAGAGAACTTCAATACAAACCTCCCTCCAACCTGAAAACTATCCATTGACCATTACTGTTTTCATAAACACTAACTTTCCACAAAGATTTGTTACGCAGTACTGTATTGAACAACTTCTGGAAGTGTATGCACATCATATCAACAGAACCCTCTTTGATTCTTTGTTACCTCTTCAAAAAGCTCCAGCATGTTCATTAAATCTAATTTCCTCTTTAGAAATCCATGCTGGCTTTTTCCCATCAAGCCACTTTTTTAACGAAGTAATTACTAATTCTATCCTTAATTGTTTTCAGAATCTGAGTTCTGAAATTCAACTGATTTTAAGGAATGAGAAAACTTTAACCCCAGTGTCATGAAATGTTGAAATATATCCAACCCAGGGGTGATGTTTAATTTGGAAGGGATTTGGAGGTATTAGTGTTCTTGTGGTGTTGCTGTTCATTTTTCACCTGTTTGTGTGCTGCTTGTAATGGTGTGTTGGTGAGTTACTGCTGTGCCCTCCATAGATCATGCATACTGCAGCTATAGTGAACTACTGCAGGGGAAGATTTTAAAATGAAGTCATGGTCTTTAACCTGATGAAGGAAACAAAATTCTAAGTGTAAGTGATTTGCTTGACATTTGTGACAAATCCATTTCTAATTATCTTGGACTTGGCTAGCAAAATATCTGTATACATTTTTTGGTTTAAATTTATTAAATTTAAACATGGTAGCAGGATTTGTGCACTTTGTGTCCTTGCCAGGAAATGACAAGAACTTTAAATTTGTGAAGTGCCTTTCCTGACGTCTGAATATTCTCTAGTGCAGCAACAAAAAATTACATTTTATGTTCTTTTAAAGTGCAGTCACTGTGGCTATGTAGACATTTATCTACTTGGTATTTACAGCAAAACTCCACAAACATCAGTGAACAAAAGTTGATCTGTTTCTAGCTGTTGATTTCCTGAGGAATTTTGGTTGGGTTATCAAGAAAATTTCTTAGTTCATATATGTGAAGAATTTTTATTCACTTCATGAGGTGACTGTTACTGTCAAGGCCTTTTTTGTGCTTATCCCTCGTTGCCCTTTCTGAATTTGGTGAACTACTGTCTTGAACCATTGCAGCGTGTGATGTAGTACTAAAAGGATGAGTTCAGGTTTTGCTCAGGATTGAGTGATTCATGGAGGAATTGAAATTTGCAGTTAGTGTTAGTATGCAGCTTGGTAATGAATGACACTAGTTTGGAAAGTACTGGTGAAAGAAGTTTGAATCACTTCAATACACCTGGTTAATGAATGCTTTGTGCTGTTGGAGGTGATAGATTGGGTGTCGAACAGTCAGGTTGGTTTGGAAGCAGCTCCATTTGAACACCAAACTGTGTCAGTATCTGAGTAATTACAAATCACAATCTGAATAGTTAACAGTGCAGAAGGAGGCCATTTGGCTCATTGTGCCTACACCAGCTCTTCAAACAAGCAGCATTATCTAGTACTGGTTTGTGCATGCACCAACCAACTCGACCTTCAGTTGTCATCCATTTTAATTCCCCTTCCCACTGCCCTGACAACATGTCCGCCCATCCATGGCCACCTCCACTGTCAGTGGGGCCAAATGTAAACGGGAGGAACAATACCTGATGCTTTGCCTTGGAGAGCTTACAGCCAAGGGCCTGAATATTGACTTTGCCAGCTTCAGCATCCCTCCATCCCCAGACTTCTCCCATGTCCCGCCTCCCTGACCTGTCCTAATCTGTCCATCTTCCTACTCACCTATCCATTGCACCCTTTCCACTGATCAATCATTATAACCCCTTACCTGCATACATCTATCGCCCTTTCCCCAGCCCCAACCCCCTCCTCCCTCTATTTATTTCTGGGGAGGAACCCCCCGCCAGTCCTGACGAAGGGTTTTGGCCCGAAACGTTGATTTTTTTCCTCCACCTCTGCTGTCTGACCTGTGTTTGTCCAGGTCCACGTTTATTGACTCCGGCTTCCAACATCTGTTTTCCCCCATACCCTTGCACGCTCTCTTTCTATCCTAATAATCATGTAGTGCCTCTTGAATGCTTTATTTGAACCTGTCTGCACCTCCTTTCCAGGCAGTACATTCTGTACCCTAACTACTTACTGTATGGGGGAAAAATAGATTTCTTTTATTACTCTTGCAAATGGTACTAAACACTGCAATCATTTTTTATTCACTCGTGGGATATGGGCATTGCTGGTCGGCTAATATTTACTTCCCAAGCTTGGTTACTGGGGGTGAACTGCTGCCTTGAAATGCTGCAGTGCATATGGTGTGTATTGACCCAGAGTTGTGACCCAACGACGGTGAAGGAACAGCGATCTATTTACAAGTCAGGATTACGAGTGGCTTGCAGGTGGTGCTGATCTCCTGTATCTGCTGCCCTTGTTCTTCTAGATGGAAGTGGTTGTGGGTCCGGAAGCTGCTGTCTCCGGATCTCTGGTGAATCGTCATGAAAATCTCCATTTCTGATTTTAAGATTGAGGGGAAGTCATTGCGTCTGAAAATGGTTGACCTAGAACGGTACCCTGAGGCACTCCTTCATTAGTATCCTGGGAATGAGATGATTGGACTCCAAAAGCTGCAGCCAATGTCCTGTATAGTAGGCATGAATCTAAGAGATAAGTTTTCCATTGATTCCCATTGACTTTGATGTTTATTGAATCTGTAGTTCCCTGAAGTCTTGAGAGTGAATTTGCTCCCAAAATCCTTAATTCAGAGCCAAAATTGTAGCTTAGTGTGAATTGAATCACTTATTGTCACATGTATTCAATGTAAAAATACAGTGAAAAGTGTGTACCTTTGCCGTACATACACATTCGCATTCATATTAACTTAGAATAAGATAGGAAAAAATAACTTGCGAGTCCAACTTTCTTTTCCCTGCCACAGTCCCACTCAGCCCTTGCCATGCTGCTGCCATTGTCCCACTCTGGGCTGCCTCCCTGGCCTGCTCTTGCCACAGCTGCTGGATGTATACCTGGATTGTGGAGCTGGGAAAGAGTGGAAATGAGATTGGAGACTGGAAAATAAAACCAGGCATGAATGGGTCCTTCTCTGATACCTTGAATCATAAATTGTAAGAGTTTGACCTGAGTAGCCCATTGAATATATTCTGTAGACCCAGGAGAGCAAAAGACCTGTTAACCTATCTCAATCAGGGTTTGGGAGAAAGGGGGTTAGAAGGGATCAAGAGTTCCAGTTTACTGAAGAGGAAGAGAAGGATGTCCTTCTGATGGCTCAATTTATAAAGATAATGCCCATTGTTGTAAAGATGAATTTCAGTCCCTTTGTATTCCTACTATTCTCTTTTGATCTGAACTTTCCACCGTTGTGGAGCTTGGTATGTTTAAAGCTAGGATTTCCCGTTTTAATCATTATGCAGAGGCAATAGGAGAGTGGGAAAATGCACTATCTGAATGTTAGATGAACACGGTAATCCTTGATTGTGGCACATTCCACAATGCTTTCACACATCTTGAGTCTAGGAGAATTAGACATTAGTAGTGAAATCCTTGGATACCCATATCATTATAAATTTACCAAAGCAGAAGTTGGATATCTCTGAGAAGAGTGGTTTTTTAGTGAGGTAATGAAGTGGCAGATGATACCAGCTAGACAGATGGAAAATGCTGTGGTGCAGAGAAGATTTAATTGTAGTTTCTGTGTCTGCGAATGAGCCAATTAGTGCAGAGTCTGCAGCAAATTTATGTTGTGGATCGACTCTACTCACTCTTGAGATTTTTCAACCTTCAGAGGACAACTAAAATTCCCCAGTGTTCTACTGGAGAATCACATTAACCTTTAAATACAGATGTAACTATTTGTAACAACTCAATATTTGCCTAACTAATCTGGTATTTTCTGTCTCTAAAACATTCTCCTACTTGATTGTGGCTGGTTAGCTGGTTCTCCTTCCAGTCCACTATTTTTGGCCCTCATCCCGGTTCCGGGTTTCAACTTGATGTGCAACTGATTGTGTGGTCGACGGAATCTTTATTTAGGTGTCAGTTTTTAGCATGTGCTCATCGCTTAGAGACAGTTTATTTTCATTTGTCCTTCTAATTACAGAGAGAAGAATGTTGCCCACCACAATGAACTGGCGGTTTTGAGACAAGAGGTGCCTTACTAGGCCGGCTTTTTGATCCCACATCCTGCCTTTGACCATACAGTCTCAACCCGTTTTTCTCTTTTGAACTTGCACCTTGCTATCTTGATGCCAACATACAGGGATAACCTGATGAAGAGACAAACAGTCTGCCTTCCCAGCCCAGCGTCCTCGAATTGAAATATGTGGGTTATTTCAAAATCTTCTAAAATTTCAGTAAAATTAAAAAAGATACCAATTAAGACAGCACGCTCTGCAGTTTGAGGAAGTTATGATAGGGTTTCAAATCATAGCTAACAGTGAGAAAGAAAATCACCTGGAACAATGTATGGAGCACTGATGGCACTTGAAGAACATGCAAAGACATTCGAGGTGAATTCAAATTTGATTTTGATAAAGAACGCAGTAAAATATCAGAATTTAATTTTGGAGATTGGAATACTAGCATTTTAAAAGCCAAAAAAAAAAACAAAGTAATGGAGAAAGTAGTTTGAGGGAAAATTGACATGTAACATGAAAACACAGTAAGAGCTTCTTTAATTTAAAAAAATGAAGAGGTAGCAGTAGACATAAGCCTTTTTTCCTTTCCTTTAAACTCCCATCTTCTAGTACCATTTTAATTCTTACCAAGATCTGTCTTCTGTAATCAAAATCTTAAGGGGCTACAATACTGTCTAGATTGTGTAACCTGTAAATCTACTGACACCCCAAAAACAATTGCCTTAATATATTTCGTAGAAAATAGGAGTGGGAGTAGGCTATTCAGCCTACTGAAGCCTGCTACACGATTCATTATAATCATGGCTGATCATCCAACTGTTCATAGCCTGTTTCCGCTTTTGCCCTGTGTCTTTTGATCCCTTTAGTCCCAGGCTCCAAATCCAATTTCTTGAAGTCATATAATGTTTTGGCCTCAGCTGCTTTCTCAACTTGTGCAGTTCTCTTGCTGATCTGTATCATTGTCATGTCCTTTAAGACCTTCCATTGTCATGTGTAATTTTAAAAATCTTTGTTAGTCCATTTAGGACAATTCATTGCATAATGGTATTTCTAGTTGTACCTGTTGACCATACCTGAAGCATTCCTGGGGTTCATCTTCTGTCATGTTTCCCAATTTCTGTAGTCTGTTATAATCGCCAAAGGTCTCTGCTCACTCCTCATAATATTTTAGGCCTGTACATGAGCATCGCATTGCTGTTAAATTGAATTCTCTATTCTTTTGTTACCTCTGAATATCCCATTTGAACTCTGAACAAGTTCCAAAAAAATTATTATAGTAGTAAAAATTGAAATTGATCCCCAGGCCTGTTGAGGTGCAACCTTTCTGACTTGTACAGGTCCAACCCTACTCAGGAACTGCCCCATGTAAATCTAAAACCTACCTTCCTGCAGCATCTCTAGTGGTGTATTTGTCAGTTTTATCTTCCTGTTACTGAGCTTGGACACTGGGAGCAATCGAAAGATCATTACCTTTTTGAGGTTCTGTTTTTCAACAGCCCAGCTATTCCTGTCACTGTGTATTGTTTTTGTTGAACAGAGCCTGCAGAGCTATTTTTGAAAGCGAGGAGGGAGCATGCTCATTAATGCCATCGGGTCAGTGGTGGTGTGGTGGGGTGCAGGGATGTATGAGAAGTGGTGATGGAGGGTAAGACTGACGTGTGGTAATGGCAGTTGATGTGATTTGAGGGGTCTGCAAGCAAACTGGTGGGAGTGTTGGCAGGGGAAGGGAGCAAAAAGAGCTTGGGGGAAGCAGAGAATGAATGGAAGCAGGATGGAGTGGGTGGGGGGGGCGGGATTTGGAGGGGAGAGAGAGGAGGGAAGCTGCCTATGTGGTAGGGCTTCAGCAGAGCTAGGATGCAGTAATATTTTGGCGTTTCTATTAATTTGTCTGTTCTGAGGGAGGTTTCTCTGCTCTAAAATAGACCCGGGTAAATACCAGACGAGCACTGATTAGTCCCAGCATGGGCTCCCAGGGACCCCTTACAGGCAAACTAAGCGTTCCATGACAACAAGGTGCAGGGCTGGATGAACACAGCAGGCCAAGCAGCATCATAGGAGCAGAAAGGCTGACGTTTTGGGCCCAGACCCTTCATCAGAAAAGGGGGAGGGGAAGGGGGTTCTGAAATAAATAGGGAGAGAGTGGGAGGCGGATAGAAGATGGATAGAGGAGAGGATAGGTGGAAAGGAAACAAACGGGTCGAAGAGGCGGGGATGGAGCCGGTAAAGGTGAGTGTAGGTGGGGAGTTAGGGAGGGGATAGGTCAGTCCAGGGAGAACGGACAGGTCAAGGGGGTGGGATGAGGTTAGTAGGTAAGAGAGGGGGGTGTGGCTGGGGGGGGGGGGGGGGGATAGGTGGGAGGAAGGATAGGTTAGGCGGGGACGAGCTGGACTGGTTTTGGAATGCGGTAGGGGGAGGGGAGATTTTGAAGCTTGTGAAATCCACATTGATACCATTGGGCTGCAGGTTTCCCAAGCGGAATATGAGTTGCTGTTCCTGCAACCTTCGGGTGGTATCGTTGTGGCACTGCAGGAGGCCCAGGATGGACATGTTGTCTGAGGAATGGGAGGGGGAGTTGAAATGGTTTGTGACTGGGAGGTGCAGTTGTTTATTGCGAACCGAGCGTAGGTGTTCTGCAAAGCGGTCCCCGAGCCTCCGCTTGGTTTCCCCGATGTAAAGGAGGCCACAGCGGATGCAGTATACCACATTGGCAGATGTGCAGGTGAACATCTGCTTGATGTGGAAAGTCTTCTTGGGGTGGTACGTGAGGTCGAGGGGGATTCTCTTTTGGTTCTTATTGCTTGGACGGGGTGTGAGGGATGAGTTGCGGGAGACACGGTTGAGGGCGTTCTCGACCACTGAGCGGGGGGAAGTATCCCCTATTCCCAATTCCTTCGCCTCCGCCGCATCTGTTCCCAGGATGAGGCATTCCACTCCCGTACATCTCAGTTGTCTTCGTTTTTCAAGGACCGTAACTTCCCCCCACCTCAGTGGTCGAGAACGCCCTCCACCGTGTCTCCCACATCTCCCGCAACTCATCCTTCACACCCCGTCCACGCAATAAGAACCAAAAAAGAATCCCCCCCCCGTCCTCACGTACCACCCCACCAACCTCTGGATCCAACGCATCATCCTCCGACACCTCCGCCATCTGCAATCCAACCCCACCACCAAAGACATCTTTCCCTCCCTACCCTTATCTGCTTTCCAGAGGGACCACTCTCTCTCCTGGACTCCCTTGTATGCTCCACACTCCCCTCTAGCCCCACCACATCCGCCCCCATACCTCCTCCCTCACCCCCATCCCAGGCCCCAAGAAGACTTTTCACATTGGCAGATGTGCAGGTGAACATCTGCTTAATGTGGTATACTGCATCCGCTGTACCCGGTGTGGCCGCCTCTACATCGGGGAAACCAAGCGGAGGCTCGGGGACCGCTTTGCGGAACACCTACGCTCGGTTCACAATAAACAACTGCACCTCCCAGTCGCAAACCATTTCAACTCCCCCTCCCATTCCTCAGACGACATGTCCATCCTGGGCCTCCTGCAGTGCCACAATGATGCCACCCAGAGTTGCTGTTGCTGCAACCTTGTAGCCCAATGGTATCAATGTGGATTTCACAAGTTTCAAAATCTCCCCTCCCCCTACTGCATCCCAAAACCAGTCCAGCTCGTCCCCGCCTCCCTAACCTGTTCTTCCTCCCACCTATCCCCTCCTCCCACCTCAAGCCGCACCCCCATCTCCTACCTACTAACCTCATCCCACCCCCTTGACCTGTCCGTCCTCCCTGGACTGACCTATCTCCTCCCTACCTCCCCACCTACACTCACCTTTACTGGCTCCATCCCCGCCTCTTCGACCTGTTTGTTTCCTCTCTTCTATCCGCCTCCCCCTCTCTCCTTATTTATTTCAGAACCCCCTTCCCCTCCCCCATTTCTGATGAAGGGTCTAGGTCCGAAACGTCAGCCTTTCTGCTCCTATGATGCTGCTTGGCCTGCTGTGTTCATCCAGCCCTGCACCTTGTTGTCTCGGATTCTCCAGCATCTGCAGTTCCTACTATCTCTAAGCATTCCATGATGTGGGTGTCCTGGAAATTATAGCTCTCCCAGCTCCCTCAACTCTGCTTTCAGGGTTTCACCTTTTTTTTTCCTCTGCTCATGTCATTGATGCTGATATGGACTACAAGCTCTGATTCTTCACCATCACCGCTCAGCTGTGCTGTAGCTGCTCAGTAATACACCTGACACTGGTGCTCGGAAGGCAGCCTGCTATCCTGGAATATCTTGCATGATCATGGAAGTGCCTGCTTATTTCTGTCACTATTGAAGGCTCCCCCTTCTTCCACACCAACCACTTTCCACTTTACACCTCCTTGTATAGCTGAGCCACCTATGATGCCTATACATGAGAGAAATCATCACTATTACCAGTATTTTTAACTGGATGCCAGTTGGAGAGTGAGATGCTTGCAGGGATCCCTGTCTTCACCTGATTTGCCGCGTCTTTCTGAGAATTGCATGTGCAAACTTGGCTAATGAGTATAGACCTGGACCCTCAATAGGAAGGGTCACAAATAGAAAAATTTGTAACACAAGTGTCTGAGCAAGTTCAGAAATAAGACCATACCTATTCTGTGCAAGTTAATGGAAACAAATGGTGGAAACCTGATTACAATATGCTTAGCAAGAAATGTTGTTTTTGCTATCCTTATCTTGTTTCACCTGACCTATCTCTTGAGTGAAACAACTAGAAAACATTCTCAGCACTCCTTTTCTCACTCCAGATATCTGCAGTCCAATCTATAATATTATACAAAACATCCTCCAAAAATTGGCCCATGCTTTCAGTGGCCTAGCCCCACACCTAATAAAACTGCATCAAAGTTAAGAGGAGGCTTTTTGGTTGGGAAAGAAGGTGTAACAAACCAATTTGTGACCATAATTCTCATAACAGCAACATGGCAGCTTCTCTTTTCTAAATGCAGGTAAGCTGCTCAAATTATCCAGTTTTTAAATGTTATTGGGTTCTTTTGTAATGAAATTTGAGGACAGAGGAGCAGGGGAATAGAACTGTGGTTAAGAGATAACACTGTGTAGAGCTGGATGAACATAGCAGGCCAAGCAGCAGCATAGGAGCAGGAAGGCTGACGTTTCAGGCCTAGACCCTTCTCCAGAAATGGGGGAGGGGAAGGGGGTTCTGAAGTAAATGGGGAGAGAGGGGGAGGTGGATAGAAAATGGAGACGGGACAGGCAAGTCAGAGGCGGGGATGGAGCCAGTAAAGGTGAGTGTAGGTGGGGAGGTGGGAGGAGATAGTTCAGGTCAGTCCAGGGAGGACAGACAGGTCAAGGGGGTGGGATGAGGTCAGTAGATAGG